TCCCACCCTCTCCTAAGCCTCGATCCACCGCTTCCGTCGCCGGAAACAGCCACGAAACAGGCCGGTTCCGATAGTTTTTCTGAAATTTTTCGGGAGCTCGTTCTCTCACTTCCGGCCACCATTTTCGTCGATCCAGGCAAAACTCAGAAGAAAAATGCCTTAAAAAGAATAAAGATATAATCTATAGTTAACTCAAATACAATAGTCTGGAGTCTTGGACTAGGTATTAATAATAAACTATACAAACAAATAGAGAAATGTTTTCAGGGGCATTAAGAATCAGAATGAAGCTAAGTTTTGTAGCCATTATCATCCAGACAAAGGTTGAAAAAGTTAATATGGACTTACTAGCATTCTCTGCATGAATTTAAGATCCAAAATAGCCAAATTGTTCAACCCCCCTTCAATGCTCCAGCTGCCACGTTTTCAAAATTAGAGGGAAGGACATCAGAGGTCTGAAATAGAATCGGAACATTGGCTACAATTATGTCATGATCAAAGATACCATCAGTACAAAGCGTTACAGACACACCAATGGATGCACGATTCATCTAACGGTCTAGATTTTCCCAAGGACTGAGTTATGGGAAGATCTTCAGTACTATCACTCTCTGCAAATTTAGCCTCTTCAGTTGACGTATGAGAAGCAAACCAGCTTGGCAGGAAGCCAACAGTTCAGGCTCCTTTTCCTCCAAGTCAACAGAACCATCCAAAGAGTAAACTTCAAAGCTGGTTTTTTCTCACATAACCATACTTGGAGCATCAAATAAGGCAATTCCAAGCACACAGGATTTATAAAAATGTACAACTAATTAAGTAAGCAAAACTTTTTCAGTTAAAAAAAGCACTCACTTATTCAGAAACCAATTGGAATCTTGGGGACAAGGTGGTAGGAGATACTTTCCACTAGAAATCTCTGACCTACAGTTTGGCATACCAAATTACACTGTATAAAAAACTTGCAAAGTACCCAGATTCAGGACAAGAGCATCCCCAATCTGGTTACACTGTATAAAAAACTTGATCATTTCAGCAATTATTAACCCAATACTTGCGGCCCCTGAACGTAACCCGCTCCTGGTAAAAGTCGTGCGGTTGCTCACTTTCAATAAGTCTCTCTGCCAATTTCTGGGCCAGAAGTTCAGCCTCCTTCTTCTGGGCTTTGGTTCTTTCCTCCTACCTACGAAGTTGTTCCATGGCCCTTGTTTCACGCGCCACACTTGTCGTCTACTCTCTCGTCCATCATTTCTTCCATGTATTTTCCCTTCACGATCTTTTAAATAAAAAGAAGGCTTTTTATCACAAAACGTCCATGGGGTTTAAAGTTTTCATGTGTCATTAGTGGTCCTCAAGGTTAACAACCATGCTCAAAAGTATTATATGTCGTTATGTTCTATTTCATCCAAAATTCTGCTAAAATGGGTGACATGGCACACATGTGGGACTCACATATCTAATGATACCATGTCATGTGAATTAAATAAAAATACATAGTTTAAAATAAAAACTTTATAATAAAAAACCTCCAATAACACCCGCCATCACCCTACCCCTCCACGGCTCCGGCTCCCCCTCTCTCTATTCTCTCTGCATCTCTCTGCCCTCTCTCTCCTTCCCGACCCAACCCCCAAATAGTCTCAAATCAAGCACACAAGATGCACAAGATACCATTATTAAAATATTTAAAAATAATAATATTTTTATTAATCCACGTGGTGTGATATCATTAGATATGTGAGCCCCATCTATATGACACGTCACCAATTGGACATATTTGTAGACGGAAGCTGACAGCAGAGACTACTTGTGAGCATTCATATTGACCTTCAGGACCACGAAGGACACCCAAAAAAAAACAAAAAAAAAACATAAAGGACGCAAACATTTTGCAGTAAAAATTCTAAAAATTAAAATCACAAATGAAAATGGTACCTAACCAACTAATTATAATTAATAATTAAATTTTAATTAGCTTGGGAAATTGGGTAAATATATATCATATTTCATAATCAATTGCTTATATTTACATTTACATTTTTTGGGTTCGCTTCTTTTCTGTATCAGTCAATTGGTTGCCTTGTTTGTAGAAACAGAAAATTTTGGTATTTTGCACTTCAACAAAGGTGAGGTTGCCCGCCCACTTTTACATTGCGTCAGTTAACAGCTGAAATCTTTCAAACCAGATTGTAGCACAACAAAATGACAGCATATAAACCTAAAGCTAGCAACCTTTTTCCAAGAAAACCAATTGGATAAAGATGGCCCAAATTAGAACTGGTCAAGCTGTATTTCCGCTTGGCATTTACCCTAATCCAAATACCAAGTTAACAAAAATAACATTTGGTTGTTATTTTTCCAACCAAAAAACTAACCCCCCAAAACATTGTATATTTCAATCTCCTCTCTCTCTCTCTCTCTCTCTCTCTCCCTAATCCATCACCGTCATGAAATGGTAGAACCCTTTGCATCTCCAACCCTACCCATTCCTCTCTCATATGCAAGCTTAGCCTGAAGGCTTTCAACCTCTCTTTGTTGAAGAGCTTTCTTGCTAGCCAAGGCACACACACATATCGTAACCATGACACTTAATTGTCTAACTTGCCAGGTCCTCAACAGGACAAACTCCTCTGGCTCTGATAAGGATTATGTATGCAAGGACAAGGCTTATAGGAAACTTTGTTGTGTAAACATCAATATGGAGAGAAGCTGGTCTGGGAACCTAACTCCGCCGTCTTACGAGCAAATCCAGGAATCTTCTATGTTCATGCCGGATAAGAAGAAGGTGAAGATGCCCCTGGGGCATCGCCGGCTTATGAGTACAGGTGGGGTTGCATATGAAGGAAGCACCGAACCGCGCTTGGTGAGGAGCTCTGGAATGAGAAGGGATTGGAGCTTTGAGAATTTGGCTCTCCTCAGAAACGAGAAGAAAGGGAGAAACTCTTAAGATATAATTGACACAAGTTTAATCTATTCATGCTCAATTCTTTTTCTTCTTCTTTATTTTCTTTCTTTTTCACCTTTTTTTATTTATTATTTTCATTTGTTTGTTTACTTTTTCTGAGCTTTTGTGTCGTTATCTTTTGAGACGGAGAGAAATGCAGATGTTTCAATTGAAGTTTGATCGTTGTGGAGGAGATTTGAACATATATAGTGTTGAAAATTGAAATTCCTTATTCAAATGTACATGTTGGTTATTCCTATAGTAAAAAAAAAAAAAAAAAAAAGAGAAAAAAATTGAAGGATTATTTTCACTCTTGGGGTTATTCATACTATTTTCTGTGTTTTAAAAGAGATAAACCAAAAATGAGTTCGGATTAGAATAGGTAAGGATTCAATTCGATTCAATGTAACGAAATTTAAGAAAACAAAACAAACAAAGAGGGATAAAACAACGAGAAGAATTAACCGCCAACAACAACGATAAGATTACAATAGCGGTCGCAATAAAAATTTCATTAAAGTATGACTGGAATGAACATTTTAATGGATGTAGACAGAAGCAATGATGTTCATAGGAGCCTTTTGATTAACATGTTCCAATAAAGTTTTGGCTCCCTATATTTTTGAAAGAGAATCAATTGGGCAGTTGTATATGTGCATTAATTTTGGGGTCAATAATTTTCATATGCTACTTTTTCTTAATAAAAAATGGTTTTGCTAACGCAATGTTGACTCTTCAAATCATCTGTCTATAGACTGGTTATTGGATAAACTGTTTTTCAAAATTCTTCAAATTGTATGGCGCATGCATATTTTGGCAAGTAAGTTATACAGTGTAGAGATTTGTAGCTCTAGTGTTTGGTGGATTGAATTATATGACTAGATATGATTCATAATTCTAGTCAAATATTTGGTGACAGAGGTTGGAATTAAGTTAGATTGGATTATGTCTATTCTTACTAGACTTACATAGCATATTTCAATTAATCATGTCTCTTAATCATGTGTAATAGTATCAAACACTTCACAGAATTACTGTTATCCTCTCTAATCTAATGTAATCCAATTCGATCTAATTCTACAGTTTGGGATTGCTGTCACGGTTAAAAAAAGTTGTTTGTGCTGTGCTTTGAAAATAATTAGTTGTAAAGTAAAGCAGTTCCATGTTTAGTGAACAATATTTTTAAAGTGGTGTTATGACAAAAAGCAATATCAAAACTGTTTGGTAAATTTTAATATAAAACTGTTGTAACTGTGAATAATGACTCAACTAGACATGATGTTGAAAGTGTTATGTGCTATCATGTGATGGTGAAAGAGATGGAAGTGAAGGTGATGGTGAAAGAGGTGGTAGGTGGTGGTGGTTGTGGTAGTGGTTGTGGTGGGAAAAGTGGTTGAGGAGGTGGTGGGGGTGGAGGTTGAAGAGGAGGTGGTGGTTGCGGTGGCGGCGTGGTGGTGGTGGAGGTTGAGGAGGTGGTTGTGGTGGTGGTGGCATGGTGGTGGTGGTGGTGGTGGTGGTGGCGGCGGCAGAGGAGGAGGAGGATATGGTGGTCGTGGTGGTCGTGGTGGTCGTGGTAGTGGCTATGGAGGTGGAGGTGGAGGTGGTGTCATTTTTAAAAATGAATTTTGGGATTTTGGGAATTTAAAATATTCATTTAAGGGTCATCTCTGCTTCTTTTGAAAGCAGCTTTGAAAAACACTCCCAAACCGAGCCTGAGCCTAATTCATATCCCAATCTAATCCCTTCATCCAAGGCCATAGCCAAAAGCCTAAAACCATTGATTCAAGACACAATCTAGAGACTGCAGCATATGCATAACAAATTGCTACCACATTATAAAATATTTACAGTTCTTTCAACTTATTAGCAGATGATAAAGATCGAAGGTACGCTGTCATTAGGATGAACCAGCACAGCACTTCAAAAAATGATTCTTCCTGCTGCCTCGTCATAATGAAGGCATATAAATGATGTCTATGGTAGCATACATTGAAAATCTCTTTTCCATTTAAGCATCTTAAAGCCATATTCTACAATTTCACACCAAGTTGACTATAAATACTCAATATGAACACATGCATAGATAAGATTCATGTCAAACAAATTTCAGATGCAATCCAAGATACATTGCTTTTAAAAAAGCAAACATTCAAATCCCACTCCTTACAGATGAAACATCTTGTGTCAGTCTTTATATACTTTGTGGACAGTAATCATACATTACAACAAGTTCAACCACTTACCTGATTTTCTAACCAAAACAGTATCAATGTCCAAGATTCCTTTCCCGTCATTGTTAGACTTCCGCATATGCAAAATCCAATACTTAACCAACTTAGACCTTAGCTGCATATTTCCTCATCCCTTATACATCAGTAAAGAGCACAAGTTGAAAGTGTAGACAGAAAATACCAACTCCATACCATCAAAACAGAACAGTTAGGAGTCATCTGCCCAATATGCATAAAGTTACCATCCCATCAAAATGGAACAGTTCGGAGTTATCTTCCATCGGCTTTAGTTTTTCTTCTTCCTTGCATCAGCTTTCCAATCTCTTCGACACAGTTTGGGTCTTTGCATTTCAAAGTTATTCTGGTTCACAGATATCTCAGAATGGGTTTCACTATCTAATAGTGGCTCAGCCGTAGTTCCAGATAATAACACAGTTTGACTCTCACTGGTTGACATAGGAGTAAGGACAGCACAACCATTAGGTGTAACTTCAGGATACTCAGAAACACGAGCCCTCCTTGCATCCTTTTTCCAATCTCGTTTACAGTGCACACGGGGTACATAATTGCTAACAAATCCATTCATTTGCACTTCTACTTGTGGTGGAGTTGCTTGCTTTATGATGCTAGGCTTCTTCATATCTGCTTCAAGGCGCTTCCGGGCCCTATACCTACGTTGTCGTTCTCGGTTCTTCAGGCGACGAGTCAGAACATCATTACGACTTCTGGTGCGCTCTCTTTGATCAATAGGCTTCATTATAAAACTATCTTGTGTTTGAGCAGCATTCATATCTTTGCCTGCCTGACATTCAGACCAAGTCTAGCATAAGCATGAATAAAGGAGGACTGCAAACAATAACACTACAAACAATGGTTCTCTATTTGACAGTAAACTTCTTACCACTAAAAATTCGCTCACAACTAAGAGATGATAGCTCGCTTCAATTACGCAACCACTTGAATGGTGAACAAAGGGAACATGACTTGCTACATCTATAAACGCGGCAATGCATCACTCTAAGTGGTCTAACAAAAACAAAAATTAGCCAGAAAACATTACATGCACAACATCCTTCACAAGCCCATAAAGAAAACATGATCAGGTATTCATTTGGTCGGAAGTACCAGCTAAGTAAATTTCCTCACACAGCACATTTAATGAGACATAAATGTGCCGTTTTGTATGATTAAGGATTACACACGTTCAAGTATACATCACGGGCTAACAATCAAATTCTGAAATTTTGCTTTAGAATGGGAAAGACCATCAAATAATCAGGGAGGATATATAAGAGATTGATGACTAAAACTTATCCCCTTATCTCCCTTGAAATGGTGAGATTATGAGGGAAATTTGGTTACTTAAATCAGATTTTTTTTCCCTTTTTATGACAATTTCCTTTTCCTTTTTGGTTTGCCCTAAATTTCTATGTTTACATAAGCTTTTCCATAGTGTGTGTTTTTTTTTTAATAATTAATAATGAAATATTTATAAAGCTATTTTTACAAAAGTCACTCACAAACAAAATTATGTTATTCATGGCTATGAAGTTATAAAGTAGAAATTTTACATTCTACTATCTCAATATGTGACTCTCCTCAGGTACTTATCCTATTGGATGGAGCACAATCTACAAAATTGTTTGTCCAAAAAAAAAATATATGGACCCTTGTACCCAAGCCAACCATAAATGCAAAACAACCCTAAATGTTTGTCCACACATACAGATCTTTTTCAAAAGCGATCCCGCACATTTCTGAACTTTCTGCACGTGGCTGTCATCCGTTTGATCTCATTAATCTGCCGATCTCATTTATATAAAATGTCGCACAAAGATCTTAGTAATTTGTGGTCTGGTTAAAACTTCAATGGTTCTTTCAATACTTTTGGTAGATTATAGATCATGAGCACCTACCCCTGATTTGGAAATAAAACACCAATTCTTAAAGGTAAATCCATGACCTTTGAAAATTTATTAATCAGCCACAACCAGAGAGTATTTATCAATCAGCCAAGCAGGGAATATGATTAGAATCTAAAAGTTGCCCCTCAAAAGGGGGAAAAAATAAGATGTAAATCCTGGTTCTTTACCATCAAACGAGGATTGAATTACCTTTAAATCCAATGTTGGCAGCTCCATTCCATTCTTAGCCTCTTAAGCCTTCAATCCAATGTTGGCAGATATGAACGTCAAACGACTACAGAGTGTCCACAACAGTCTCTCTTGCACACGTTTCAGGCCGAAAACAGTCTTTCATGTATGTTCTGTATAATTTTTAGTCAGGAACTCCTGAAGCAATGAAACTTCAGTTAAGAAATTTGATTCCATAATTGACATTACTGCAACACAAAAACACTAGTACAACAGTATAAAAAAATTATCACGAACATATTGCTATTAGTTGCAACCTGCCACAAATAGATGAATTTTTCTAAATAAACAATGACATTATAACTATTATAGAAAGAAATTTCAACCCATCAAGCTACCAATTAACTAAAGAATGGGTTGGAGCATATATATATATATATATACCAGGAAGCTTTAAGAAGGCTGGCCACTAATAGCCATAGCCACAGACTATTATGCAATTAAATATATTCTATATGCAAGTGTGCCGTCGCACACCACATACAGGCACCTATTATTATGCAATTACAAAATTTGCAGTTAATCATGTCCAATTAATATAAGCGGCAGGTTAGAAGAATATCAAAATGCAGGTTTCAAGAGGCCAAATCAATGCATGTCTTCATTTTCTAAGACGAAAAACCATAGTTGCCTAATTCGCTCAACCCCTACGAATTTCGATCTGGATCGAGCGTACCCAATCGCGGTACGGTATCGATCTGGAACGAAAAGATTTAACGACTCAGTTCCAGAGGAGAGAACAGTACCTGATAGAAGACGTCGCTGCTACAGAGCAGTACCTGACCGCCGACAGCAGACGAGCAATCGAGGGCGCATAAGGGAGGGAGAGTGCTATAGCTGATGAGCCCACGTTTGATTCTTGGTCCCTTGGAAGATATTGGGTTCGGAGAGGATTTTTTTGGATGAATAGATTCCAAGAGGTGGAATGGGTAAAAAATGGATTGGCGTAAGAGCAGTTCCAGCGGACTGCCCAGCCCAGGCGAAAGGCCCCTGGTCTCCCAAAATCAGCTCTGACATCCAGCCCGGCAAGGCCCAAGGCAAGATAGGCACTGACATCAGCAAAGAAAAAATGTTTTAAAAAATTGAAAACAATTACCAAAAAATTCAACAACAAAAAATTATACAGCAAATTTTTATTTATTAATATCATATATATATAAATAAATACCCTTGGATTACCATAGTTTGGGTAGAAAAGTACAAAAAAATTTGCTAGAGAATATACTATTCAAGTGAACAATAACCGCCCTTACTTGCTCTTGTTCTTTGCCATAGTAAATGGGTGGAAGTGCTCTAAGGGGGAACATACTAGAGATTGGGTGGGTGTGTCAATATAATAAAATTACTCATTCTGGTTTCAAGAATTCAATCTCGTTCTCTTGGACTCTATGGTCTAAGGAAGTTGTGATTACCTACCCTTGGATCTAATGTAAGGGTTGAGAAAGAACTGGTTTAAATATCAATATGTCATATTTTATTTTACTTTTATTACAGTAAAATACTATTTTGGTTATTAAAACTAAATTTTTTTTAAATAAAAAAGTTCAATACCATATATGAAAAATATGAACAAAAAACTCATCGTCATTTAAGCCAGTCATCTTTCTACTTCACGCCTAGTGAATAAGAAAACATGAACCTTTCATGAAAATACAACATAATTGCATATTTAACATTTATAATAATAATAATAATAATAAAACCCCAAAATTTGTTTGTAAAAAATTGAAGTTTTCCTAAACTGGGTTCATGAATCATTCAAATCTAACATTTATAAACAGAAAATTGATCACAAAGGCAGAAACAACAGGAAAGTGACTTGGTTGTAGGCCCTTGAAATTCAATCACGTTAAAGTGTGAAGGGATGGCTTGATGGCTCCGAATTTGGATCAATAAATTTTCTTTTGTTTATGAAAAAATTGAATATTGGAAACTAAATCAAGAGATGAAATAGATAACCAATAAGAATTAGAGTGAATCTTAAACGACACATGTTCTTAATTTTTGTCTACAACGCCAAAGTTGAAGGTAGTTGTGAACGACAATGGAGAGAAAGTGTTATCTTTGTTGATTTTGTGTGGGGTACTTAGAATGTTAATTTGAGTGTTATTAGCACTACCTTAGGTACCTCTCCGATTATGGGTTTTATGTTTGAGAGTTTGTTTTGCCCAGGCCCTTCGGAGTTTGTCCAGGCCTGTGATGTTGTTGGCGCTAAAACTAGATGGGTAATAATAATAATAAAACCCCAAAATTTGTTTGTAAAAAATTGAAGTTTTCCTAAACTGGGTTCATGAATCATTCAAATCTAACATTTATAAACAGAAAATTGATCACAAAGGCAGAAACAACAGGAAAGTGACTTGGTTGTAGGCCCTTGAAATTCAATCACGTTAAAGTGTGAAGGGATGGCTTGATGGCTCCGAATTTGGATCAATAAATTTTCTTTTGTTTATGAAAAAATTGAATATTGGAAACTAAATCAAGAGATGAAATAGATAACCAATAAGAATTAGAGTGAATCTTAAACGACACATGTTCTTAATTTTTGTCTACAACGCCAAAGTTGAAGGTAGTTGTGAACGACAATGGAGGAAGAACATGTTCTTGGTTTTCTAAGAGAGAGCGTGTTTTGGTTGGAGTGAATTTTTTTTTATTTAAGTTTTTGTTTTTTTTTTAAAGTTAAATTAATGTTTTGTACACTAAAAGTAATAAAATATAAACATATTGATATTTAAATCAATATTTTCTAAACCTTTAAATTAGATCCAAGAGTGAGTGACTAAAACTTCCTTGGACCCTAGGGTCTAAGAGAACAGGACTGTTCAAGAATTGCTAAGGAAGAAGGAAAGTCACGATTCTTTCAATACATCAAACAAATAAAATACATAACTTATTGAATAAATAAAAAACCACCTATTCATAAAATAAATAAGTTCATAATTAAAATTTGTATGCAGAAACATAAATTAAAGTTTATTGTTGAAACTTTAAACCAAACAAAACGGAAATTGAAAATACTTGAAATTAAAAATAGCAACTTTAGCCAACTAGTCGTTTTCCCTTCGCTTTTGCACTAGTCCTGTAACATCCCGACCCAAAATAAAAGGAATAGTAAATTAATTAATTTCAATAATTATGAATTTCCAATTTTGCCCTCGGAGTAGGGGTAATTTGATCATTTATTATCTAGGAGGATTTTGGGGCAATGGCTGGTACCTTTACGTAGGTCGTACTGAGACGAGCCCGTAGACACACGGTAGGCTTGAATCGGAGTTGTAACGAGAGAGATACGATCTAAAAAATCTTAGTGGCACAATCGTAATAATTTTGAAGTTTATTTTTAATAAAAACAGAAAAACTCTCTCTCTCTCTCTCCCCTGCGCGCAGAAAAACGGTGCCGAAGGCCGAAGGCAGATGCCGAATCATTGGGGGGATGTGAAGACATCGCACACGCCGAATGATGCAAGGGTGCCGGAAGCTTGGCTTTCAGAAAAGGCGCTGGAGAAGTGTCTCCTGGAAGGTGCCGTTCGGCATGGCTGATGGCCGAAGCCGAAGGTCGATAGCCGATGCCGAAGGCAGATGGCCGATAGCTGATGACTGAAGGCCGAAGGCTGATGGCCGATGCCGAATCATTGGGGAGATGTGAAGACATCGTACGCCGAATGTTGCAAGGGTGCCGAAGGCAGATGCCGAATCATTGGGGGGATGTGAAGACATCGCACACGCCGAATGATGCAAGGGTGCCAAAGGCATGGCTTGTTGTAGGCTGCCGAGAGCACTCGAAAAGGAGAACGACATAGCGTTTTGTGTCGCTTCCCACAGACGGCGCCAATCTGTTGGCACTAAAACTGGATGGGTATGTAGTAAGTAGGCCAACTTAAAGATGAGGTGGATGCTGAAGGTGAGGATCCTCAGTATGTAAGAGCATTCGGTAAGTAAATTTGCCCCACGGGCCCGGTTGACCAAGTTTGGGTAGTTTGACCCTCGATTGACCGTGAGTCTTCCGAGGTAGTCCCACTCTTCAAAGAGTACTAGAACGACCCTTTTGGACGAGTCTTGATCGTCATTTGTTTTATGTTGATTATGTGGGTCTATGAGATTATTTGTATGGTTTTATGATGAAAATCTTATGCTTTTGAATTTAATGATTTATTTAAATGCTTTTTATATTTAATAGTTGAATTCTTTATTTTTGTAAAGTAATTGTGATACATATGGGTTTGACATATTCGAGTGTTTTGAGTTTATATATAATAATTGAGAAAGTGTTATCTTTGTTGATTTTGTGTGGGGTACTTAGAATGTTAATTTGAGTGTTATTAGCACTACCTTAGGTACCTCTCCGATTATGGGTTTTATGTTTGAGAGTTTGTTTTGCCCAGGCCCTTCGGAGTTTGTCCAGGCCTGTGATGTTGTTGGCGCTAAAACTAGATGGGTATGTAGTAAGTAGGCCAACTTAAAGATGAGGTGGATGCTGAAGGTGAGGACCCTCAGTATGTAAGAGCATTCGGTAAGTAAATTGACATGCATACAGAAGACAAATGTACGTGGTTCACCCGAATGATGGGCTACGTCCACGGAGAAGTATGTTTTCATTATGATAATGTGTGTATACATTGTACATAGGGTTAGACCCAAGGGGAAGAGGAAGAATATCGAAGGTTGAAGGTAGATGCTGAAGGCCGAAGGCTGAGGATCTGGCTGATGGCCGATGATCCGTGGGCTTGTAAATGGGCTCATGGGTAAACCCATGGGGCCCCAGTAGCCTGCCCAACCTCTTTCTTTTTCTCCCTCCTTTGAAGGAAAGGGGTCTTCTTTTATAGGGAAGGGAGAGTCCCCTTCTCTTGTGTTTTGTCGATGTGGGACTCCCTTCCCTTTGCTTGGATTAGCTTGGAAATGCTTGGAAATGCTTGGCCAGATATTGTACAAACAGATGTCTTCTTAATACGATGCCTTGGGAAGAAAGTGATAATGTTTCAATGTGTTTTTATCGGATTTGGAATTGTGATAGATCTAAAATGTATAGTTGGTTATGTTGTAAATAATTGTCTAATATCAGAGTTGTGACCGTTGAGATGAGAACTACGTGTGGCTTGATCCCTTGTCCAAGGGTACGTAGGCAGCCTGAGGTCTCACCTAGGTGCAGCCGCGAAATATTATTGCGTTTAAAAGGTTTGATCGATTCTGAATGTGTGATCGGATTTTTGATGTGGTTAATGGATTTGAATCCGGTTTAATGATTATTGGGGGTATTCGTATAGTTGTTCAAGATCATTAATTGTATGGTTTATGTATTGTTCGACTTAAAAGCATTGCTGGTCCTATTTTGAATTATTTGAAGGCCGGAGGCCTATTTTGTATTTGCATGTTGATAACTTGTGCATGCTGCCAGTTGGGTTATAAATTGTGTTTAAATTTTTCATGTTGAAATTTTGGGAAAAGTCAAATTTACAAGGGAGACTGCCGAAATTTCGGCAGAAAGTCTCGGTTTTTAGTAAGTGGGCCGGCATTGGTGTGATGCCGGAATTTCCACAGGATTCGTCTCGGGTTCCGAGGAATTTCGGGGTGGGTCCTATCAAGTCCTTGAGCTTTAGCTCCTTCCAAGAGACAAGTGACTAGGCATAGAAGACAGTGAGGATGATGATTGGCCGTGAACACCTGCATAATCGTCCTCCAACCATTTCCATGTTATTTCCTCCAATTTCTTAGCAGAGTCCTCCAAAAAAAAGGATTATGGATCAATATCTCATTTCTTGAGAGGCCCATCTTTGTAGCTCTCACTGTAACGTGATAGGAGACGGATATTGGAATGGATATAAACCAATTGATCAGCTATTGCAAAATTCAGTTAGTTTCTCTCAACATTATGGATGTAAGAATATGTGCTCCAAATTCTTTCCACCGGTGAACCTGATATCGGTTG